TGTAGAGAGCCTCCTGGGGTAGGGGACTCACTTATCTTGGCAAAGAATGCAAGTGTTGCTTCAGCCGTTGAAATGTCGCCTCAGCCTCTTCACCCCATTCAAACCTCGACCTCTTTTTGATTGCTTGAAAGAAATACAGGCACTTGTCACCTGACCGGCTGAGGAATCTCCCCAATGCCGCCAGGAAACCGGTAAGCTTTTGCGCCTCCCTGACGGTACGAGGCGACTGCATGTCAATCACCGCCTGCACTTTGTCCGGATTGGCCTCTATGCCTCTCTGATCAATCAGAAATCCGAGAAACTTCCCAGACTCAACTCTAAAGACGCATTTTTTTGGATTTAACATGACTTTATGCCGCCTGAGGGTGGTGAAGGTTTCTCGGAGATCGGCTAGATGATCCGCCTGTAGCTTTGACTTGACTATCATGTCATCGATGTACGCCTCCACGTTCCTTCCAATCTGATCATAAAAGACCGAGTTCATCATTCGTTGGAAAGTAGCAGGCGCATTCTTCAACCCAAACGGCTTCACCATGTAGCAATATAACCCTTGATCTGTGACGAAAGCCGTCTTCTCTTGGTTTTTCTTCCACAAGGGTATCTGATGGAAGCCGGAGTAGGCATCCATGAAACTCATCAGGGCATGGCCGGCTGTAGAGTCTACCAAATGATCTATCTTTGGAAGCGGGTAGCTATCTTTTGGACAAGCCCTGTTCAGGTCCGTGTAATCTACACACATCTGCCAGGTTCCATTCGGCTTTTTCACAAGGACGACATTGGCTACCCAGTCCGGGTAGTAACATTGCCGGATGAACCCAGCATATAATAGTTTCTTGACCTCGGTTGCTGCCGCCTGGGACCTTTCCTCGCCATGGTTCCTTTTCTTTTGCCTGACCGGCTTCTTCCTAGGATCCACAGCGAGTTTATGAACAGCAAGATCCAGACTTACACCCGGCATCTCTTCTACTTCAAAGTCAAACACATCTTTGAACTCCTTCAGCAAAAGGAGTAAATCTGATCCCAAACTTTCAAACGCAACCGTTCCAATCTTGACCGTTCTGTCTGGCCGGCTGTCTTCAAGGACAATGTCTTATTTCTCCAGCCGGCTGGGGGCGAAGGCCGTCTGGCCTCTCCCCGGACAGTGATTGCTATTGTTTCTCCTTTACAGGCGCCAGTTGGTCCGCCTTCCTCTTTTTACCGGCTGGCTTAGTATCCGGTAGGCTTTGATCACAGTTGTCAAGTTCAACTATTTCTTTTTCTTGACCGTCTGTGTCAAGCGTTGGTTTGATGTCCGAGAGGTAACACTCTCTCGCCATCTTTTGGTCCCCACTCAAGGAACCGACTGTGCCATCATCCCTTTCAAATTTGATCAACATTAAAGATGGGATGATGACTGCTTTAGAGATGTTGAGGGTTGGGCGGCCAATAATCAGGTTGTAGGCAGTCAGCTCTCCTACAACAAGAAACTTGACAACCATGTGCCAGCCCTTTCCCTTTTCTCCAAACCGGATGGGTAGATCAATCATGCCCACCGGATGTACTACTCCTCCCCCAAAACCTACAAGAGGATATAAGGCAGGATGCATGCTACTGGGCTTATACTTGAGTTTTTCCAAGCACCGGTAGCTGATGAGGTCGGATGAGCTCCCGGTACCAATCAAGATTCGGCCAACTCTTTGATTGGCAATTTTGCACTCGATGACTATTGGGTCATCATGAGGCCGCCTGACCTCTCCTCTATCTTTCTCGGAGATGTTAACTTCCGGAAATGAATATTCAGACGACTGACCCTCATCTACTGAGTTGACCAGTTTCCGAATGTTATCTTTTGTGCCCCGAATGGTAGGCCCGCCTCCAGCAAATCCGCCGGCTATGGTCAGGATGGTATCCTCATCCATATCCGATTGAGTAGCCAGCGTCTTTGGGGGTGGTCCTTGTTTCGGAGCACCCTTTGACTTGGATAGGTATGATTTGAGAGCCCCTTCGTCAGCCAGTCGGTCAAAGAGCCGCTTGAGGCTAAAGCAACCCTCAGTGTCATGGCCAATTTCCTCATGAAAAGGCAATATTTGCTCTTATCCCGGGCACTTAAGGGACTCTTCATAGGAGCCGGTTTTTCAAGATTCATCCGGTCCTTTACTTCGTTGAGAATGGAGGCACAATCCTTGCTGAACTCGTACTTGGGCACATACGGATCCGACCTCTTTCTTTTCTGGAAAGGTTTTCCGGATGAGTCTGCCGCCCATACCCCCTTTCTCTTGTCTTCCTTTTTGGCCGACTGGGTAGGCCGATTCTCTTTTTTATCGGATCTTTTGTAATCCGTTGGAAGTTTCACAGCACACAATTCCAATTCCTAAATGTAGGCCTCCGCCTTCATGAGCACCTCGTGAAGAGTAGAGACCCTCTTCCTAACCAGGTCAAACTTAAAAGTTGATCTGTCTTTTAAGCCTTTAAAGAAATCAGTATAGGCAACGTCATCAGACAATCCATGGATTTGGATCCTCATCAGGTTAAACCGCCTGACATATGACCGGAGCCCCTCTTTATCTCCCTGCTGGATTGCCCCTAGGTCAAGGCTTGTTTTCTTGGCAGGGATGTTCATAGAAAAGTTGGACGTAAACCAGTAGGCCAAGGTCCTGAAATTATTGATGCATCCGGCTGGGAGGTTACCAAACCAACGTTGAGAAATCCCTTTCAACGTTGCCGGGAAGCACCTGCACCATGAGGCGTCATCCAAACCCTGCGAATACATCAGGTTGGTGTATGCCATGAGGTGATCCTCCGGGTTGGTGGTACCGTCATATGCACCTACCAACACGTTTTTGATCTTAGCCGGCTGGGTCATCTTGGTGATTTCCCTGGAAAACACCGTTGGCTGTTCCCCAAGGTTGAGCAGCCGGAGCTGCCAGTCCATAGGCTGGAGAGGCGGCTGCTGATGCCCCCCGAAAAGACCCGGTTGGGCATAGGGAGATCCAAAAGGTGTGTATGGTGTTCCATGCAATGCCGGTTGGATCATATGAGGGTCGGATCGAGCGGAAACCTCGCTCGTCCGGCTGTCATTGTTTGTTCTCGAGTGCCTCCCTGATGTGGCATTGAAGCTGTCTCGAAAGGTCGATGTTGATGCCGACTCGGATCGCTGAGTCTTTTTATCTTGAATGAGCGTCCGGGCATCAGAATAGACTTTCTTGGTTCCATCCGGCTGAATGTGCCGGACGGGCTTTCTGACTCCATCTATGGGAGTGTGTATCTTTGAGAAATCAAAGGGCCTAGCCAGCATATTTGACTTCGGATGCGGGGTAGATGCTCTACCCTTGACTGTTTTGGCAGTCTTTTTACCAAGGCGCCTTTTTTCCGCCTGACCCTTACGGGGGCCGGCTGTATTGCCCAAAAGGCCTTTGATCTCTCCTTTGAAGCTCATCATCATGTTCATGAGTTCATCTCTGGAGACTGGGGTGGCTCCCTCTGAAGCAGGTGTTAACCCAAGCGGTCCCCTGGTAAGATGATTTGGGCCTGCCTGCTGCTCTGCATGTTCCCTCTTATCTTTGGAACGAGTATGCTTGGTTCTGAAGGAACCGTCGGCTGCTGTGTAGGCTTCAATCTCATGATTGTCGGCTGTGTCTTGGTCCGAGTGGACCTCAACCTCACCAGCAGGTTGACTACTTTTACCCGGCTATACCGGTTCTGAAGTCATCTAGAAAGTACTCTCCCCACAGACGGCGCCAGATGTTTGGGGGTTTTTTATGTGTCCTACGGGAGAGTTACAATTTCCTAGTATGCTCCTTCCTTCGCCTGTACCTGCACAAATAACGGAATACTCCGGCTGGGGCTGGGGTGTTCCACCTCCGAAGATTAAGTTAGTCTCTTTCTAAATGTGGAAATAAGACAATAAAAGCTTCTCTATTTGAGAGCGTTTGCAAGGGGATTTGTGTTTTGTTGGTTTTTGGGAAAATGATTCGATCTCCATTAATGAGGTCTGCCCTTACTATTTATAGTAGGGAGAACTGTACCTCAATTAGGGTAAAATGACACGTGTCGCAAAGGGATTGGGCCTTTGCTGACCATTGCAAGCTTGACACGTGGCAGGCCTTTATTGGGCCACGTATCTTAGGGTATTTTTACCCTAAACACCGACCATCCACCTTCCCCCCTTAGACAGCGATGAGAGCATCAACATCGAGTGGCGGAGGATCCTCGGAGATTACGACGACGCGGCAGCGACTGCGAGAAAGAGGGAGAGAGAGTGAGTCAACGAGAGAAAAGGAAGAGGGAGAAAAAGCGTGCCACCTGACCGGAAACACCCATTAATTGCTCGATTTTAGGGTTTAGGGAGGGGGGAGGGTTGCAGCAGGGTAAGCGCGCATGAAGGGTAGCAGGGTCGGCTGGCCGTCGAGGTGGGTCGCCGGGAGTTGGGGGTTCAAGGCGGTGGCTCGGTTCGGGGGAGGGGGCTGCTGCCATGGGAGGGGGAAAAGGAGGGAGTGGCTGGTTGGTGGTGGGGGTGGTGGTTTTGGGTTTTTTTATTTTATTTATAAGTTAAATTAATTAATAAATGGTTAGGTGAGACTTAGAGAATAATTAGAAGAAATTAGAGCTTAATTAAGTGAATTAGAGACATTAGGTTGTCTTCAACAAAAAAAATTCACAATTGAGTTTTCTTTTGCTAAAATGTTAAAAATCAGGTTTTCTTTTACGAAAAAGCTTTAAAAGGTTTTTTTCGCAAAATGATGCATATAAAAGATTTTTTTTGACAAATTTTCCAAACTTTATTTACATTTGTCGTTAATTTGAAAGAACTTTTGCTAAATTGAGAAATTGGGGCTCTCTCTTTATTTTATGTCGGATTGGGTCGTGTCGTGCAATATGCTGGACTCACTAGGTGAATGACCCATTGACCCCCATTTAGGCAGTCACAACCTAAAAAACAAAGGAGAATCTACGAAGTACAAAACACATAAAACGCGGGTGAATTGCACAGAAACAGACAAACCAAGGATACGAAAGACGGTTAAGATTACAACATTCTTTTGATCATCATTATAAAATCTTACACCAAAACCAATTTCTAACCGAATTTCTAGCGACACCCACTACCTCCTTCTCCCTCTTTCTCTTTCTTTCTTCCTTTCTCTCTCTTCTGACTGACCTCTGCAACTCCATAGCTGCGTATTTGGGTTACCCATTTTCGTTTCCTTTAATACCCATTTCTCTCTTCTTCAAGAAAACACCAAGAAATGGAGGAATTTCACAAGAAAATGGCGGAAATGGAGATACCCAGATTGTATTATGGCGAAATTTTCAGTAGATTGCTCGTAATTGTGATCTTCCTTACTTTGTTTGGGTTTAGTAGAGCACAACCTCAAGAGGGTATGTTTTCAAATTCTCTGCTTAAGCTTTAATTTCACCATTTTGTTTATGCACACTACCTTTTCGTTGAAATGCTTCTGAAAAAACTCTTTTGTTTCCAAGATTTCTGGGTTTCGATTTTAGGTACCCTTTTTCTTGGAGTACGCTTTTTATGCATGTAATTTTCAATTTTCTTACTGTTTTAGCTTGCTATAATTATTTTGGGTGTTGTAGTTGATGCATTATATTGAAACATGTTGTATAATTCATGACTTATAACTGTTATGTTGCTTATTTATATGCTTGGTGATCATAGTTCTAAAAAAATACAGGTTTTGGTGTTTGGTCTATTAGTAGATTAGGGTTTGTCCACATTCCATTTGTCGAGAAAAGTAATCTATACTTCGTATTGTTCAGCAGTTGTAATTTTAATATCACTAATTGTGTAGTTTTCGATTTTTGGAAAAATCTTAAGTTTGAGTGTCAAGAAGATTGTAAAAATGTGTATGAAATTTCTGATATACTAATATGGGTTGAACTTTCTGTGCAATTCAACCAATTTCTTTTGCAATTTACTTCTATTGATCTAATTAACAATATTAAAATTTATGGGAAAAATTCTTGGATGGTTCAGAAATCTGACCCTAGCAGCAGTAAAGGCTTACAGGCCAGCCTAATTTTAGTTTCTGATTCTGTTTTTCTTGATTTAGATATCAAATAATCATTTACCGATTAATTACATAGCCTGTTCTGTGGAATTTTAATTGCGGTTATATCAGATGATGTTCTGAGCTCACATTTTTGTATGCTTCTGTTATCAATTGGCCTGTATTTTCTGATCTGATCCGTTAGAGTATATGCTTAATTGTAATTGGATCAGGAGGGTGGATTAGTGGAATGACTAAGTAGTCATTGCTTTGTACAAAGATATGCATATAGAGTTTGATATGATCATCAATTTGCCTGTCAACAACCTGAAAAATTTATGCTCAACAATCTGCACTTAGCTTAAATTATTAAGACATATTCAATTAGCAAATTTGTTATGCAGTGTAGTATGCTATACTTTTTAAGTACATTTCTTGAGTAGTTTCATACTTTCATCAGAAATTCATATAATTTTTTGAGTGCTTGTATGTTCATAATTCTTACAATAGGAAAGGGTTTTGTGGTCTTCCAGTACATAATTTTCTGATGCAAATTTATCGTCCTCTGTAGCTCCTGCTTATCTTCAATTTACTGCAAATGCTACTGAATTCCCTGTGGAAGACTACTATGATTATATAATTGTTGGAGGTGGAACAGCTGGATGTCCATTGGCAGCTACCTTGTCACAGAATTATAAGATACTGTTGCTGGAACGAGGAGGAGTGCCATATGGGATTCCAAACTTGATGACCCAAGAAGGCTTCTTGGCCACCATTTTGGAGATTGATCCATTTGATTCTCCTGCACAAGCATTTACTTCAGAGGAGGGTGTGCCCAATACTCGTGGTCGGGTTCTTGGTGGAAGCAGTGTTATAAATGCTGGGTTTTACAGCAGAGCTGATCAAGAGTTCTATGCCAAATCTGGCCTTACTTGGGATTTGAGAATGGTGAATCAGTCTTATGAATGGGTGGAGAATGCTATTGTGTTCCGACCTGACTTAAGAAGTTGGCAATCTTCTGTAAGAGATAGCCTGTTGGAAGCTGGGGTGAGTCCATATAATGATTTCAGTTTGGAACATGTTTTAGGAACAAAAATTGGTGGATCCACATTCGATAGCTCTGGCCGAAGACATAGTGCTGCAGACCTCTTGAACTATGGAACAGCTTCAAATATAAAGGTAGCTGTCCATGCAAATGTAGAGAGGATTATACTTGCCACATCTTCTCCAGCTGACAGCTCAAAATTGTCAGCAATCGGAGTGGTGTACCGTGATACACGGGGGCATTACCATCATGCAATGGTGCGTGGTCAGGGAGAGGTTATTCTTTCAGCTGGAGCCATTGGGAGTCCTCAGCTTCTTTTACTCAGCGGAGTTGGTTCAAGGCCATACCTGTCATCATGGGGTATTCCAGTTTCCCATCACTCGCCTTATGTGGGCCAATTTCTCTATGACAACCCAAGAAATGGAATATCAATTGTGCCTCCAACACCTTTAGAACATTCACTTATTCAAGTTGTGGGCATCACTGAATCAGGAGCGTACCTGGAAGCTGCATCAAATGTAATCCCCTTTGCTGCCCTTACCCACCCTGCTTTTGCATGGTCACCATCTTCTCCTCTTTATCTTACTGTGGCCACAATCATGGAGAAAATTTCTGGTCCAGTTTCATCTGGTTCACTTCGGCTGGCATCCACTGATGTTAGGCTCAATCCAAGCATCAGGTTTAACTATTTCAGTGACCCAAAAGACCTGGATTTGTGCATAGTTGGCATGCGTAAGATAGGGGATATTCTAAGAACCAGGTCCATGGAAGATTTTAAGTTTACATGGGCTGGAGGTAGAGACTTCAGATTTCTAGGACCTGCACTACCCACAGACCAATCAGATGACACACTAATGGGTGAATTTTGTCGCCGGACTGTGAGCACTATATGGCATTACCATGGTGGATGCGTCGTTGGGAAGGTTGTGGACACTGATCTTCGGGTGATTGGTGTCAATGCGCTCAGAATCATTGATGGCTCAATATTAACAGTGTCTCCGGGAACTAATCCTCAAGCCACCCTTTTGATGCTTGGCAGGTACGTGAAGTGGCTGTAAACTATTTATATAAGCTTATAGATTTTCTACTAGTGTGTGATGTTCTTAACGACTAAAGTGTCTATTTTCTTTGCCAGATATATGGGACTGAAGTTGCTTCAAGAACGAACAAGATAAATGTCCGTTGTGGACTTGGGGTAGCCATAGCCAATCCAAGCAGTAGTAGATGCACATCATTTGTTCCTTCAATATACACTGCAAACTGCTGGTGTATGATTCTTTTATGCTTATTTTTTTGTTCATAGTTGGTAGATGTATGAGAAATTGTTTCGTTAGCTGCACCAATAGTAGAATACTGAGGCTGTACATACATAGGAGTTGTTTCTATATAGAGCACCATTGTGCCCATGATTTGGGTCATCTCAAAGTTTTATGGGATACTATCCAAGTATCCATACATCTAGATTTTGATCATTACATCTGAATTACAACCCCAACTTACGATTGACTTTTCTTCCTTTTGCCCATTTCTCCTCTTCTGTTCATTGTTTTTTATGTCTTCTTGATCTCAAAACTAGCATTCTTCGGCGGTCAGACATGCTTCATCTGGATGTGATTTGAATACATGTGTCAAGCTATGTGATTAAGGTTAGAAAACAGTGAAAATCTAACATTCTGGAAATTTATATATTGCAAATTAATTGGAGCCTCGTTTCATTTGACGAATTTAATCAGCAATCGTGTTTCAAGTTAGAGAGGTCTTTAAGTTCTAGCTTTCAGAGAAAATAAAGTGCAGCATTAGTAGTACCAATGTATTGTGGGATATAAAAACTCATCTGTTTTTTGATATACAAACCTTGCATATCACAAAAAATGTCATAAAAGCGCTAATTTAGGTCTTGTTTTTTTACTTTATTTCCACTTATAGTTATTTTACAATAAATTCATTTAACTTCAGACAAATTACTACAATTCAAATAATTTCAAATGAATGAATTCATTTAACTTCAAACAAAATACTATAATTCAAATAAGTTCAAATAAGATAATTTAAGAAAAACATAAAAAAATCAAGATACTAAAATTGTTTAGGTACAATAATAAAATTCAACCCACTTTTTTTCCTTGAGTTGTAGGCCTAATATTGATGTCTTGCAATGATAGCATTGTTGGTGGCACAAGGTAATTCACGTATGTTTTGATGTAGGACCTTGACTTTAGTTTAATGTAGGGCCTTGCCCTTAACTTTGAGCACTTGATAAAGAGACATACAAGAACCCTTCCTAAAAGTACTGAAAAATTATGTACTCCATAGAGTCCATACATGCTAATTGAAAAGCATGGTGGCTAATTAAAGAGAAAATTCTTTCAAGGATTTTTATGTATGGACCCTCAATATTTTTAAATTAGCTCTATTATTATTGTAATATAATCATTCATTATTCTTGCATCTAATTACTATTTCTTTCTTTCTATTCATATCTTTCAAAAATTCTTGATCAATCTTTGGTTTAATTAATGTTTGAAAATCGCCTCTTTTTTCCTTTATGTTATATTACCATAAATAAAATCGAATTGCTGTTTTATTTTAAAATGAAACTACATTATTTTAAATAAAAAAATTACATTATTCCTCCAGAATAATATATGGTGTAAATTAATAAAGAGATGGTATTGGGTGCAGACTGCCGCACGCATAATTATGTGCGGCAGGCTTAGCCGATATATTTTATTTGTTGCTTGATATGTTTCATGTGTTGGCTGATATGGTTTTCGTGTTGGTTGTTTGGATCAGTTGGCTGATATGTTTCTTTAGTTGGCTAATATCTTTATTTTGTTGACTGATATATTTACTTTGTTGGTTGATATGTATATTTTAATTGTCGGCTTATATGTTTCAATTTGTTGACTGATGTGTTTATTTTGTTTTGGTTACCTGTTGCTTTTGTTTGCTTACCTGTTGCTTTTGTATGCTGATTTCATCCTTTTGTTGGCTGATATTCTTCATTTGTTGGCTGATATGTTCCTTTTGTTGGCTGATATGTTCCTTTTGTTTTTATTAATGTCTGATATATCCCTAATGTTGACTAATATCAGACATCAATTGGCTGATATGTTCCTTTTATTGGCTGATATGCGTCATTTATTGGCTAATATGAGTAACAACCTTGTAGCTGGTATGCATCAAAACCCAGAAATTCAAAACCCAAAATCAAAATCAAAATCAAAATAGAAATGGAATTTTCTCACGCCACCACATGAAATTTTCTCTCACTAAATAAAATCAAAAAGAAAAACCCAGTAAAATAGAAATTGAAATAATAATAATAATAATAATAATAATAATAATAATAATAATAATAATAATAATAATAATATTAATAATAGTAATTGATTAGGGGATTTTCCTCACCCAATCAGTGTACGACACGTGGACCAATCAGGCCCTGCCAAGTGTCCCCCATTTGGACCTATTAGGGCCTACCACGTGGCACACAACCATTTGTCCACCATGGACAAATCGTGCCACGCCACGTGGCCTACTATTTGTCATCTAGGAAAATGGCCGCGTAGGCCCAACTTCCGGGAGAGGCCCAATCAGCCCTAGGTTGACTTAAATCTAGGTTGGGCACGCTTCCCAAGGCTATAAATACATTAATTAATCCTCATTAAACGAGGTTAAGCATTAACTACTCTCACCTAGAGAAGCCAAAACACATTGATCACTCCTCCCCTAGAGGAACCAGATCTCACACCTTTACTTTCCGCACCGTTTACTCCTTAAACAAGTACTAACTTGATCGTCGGAGGCGGAGCTCCCACCACTCGGAGTCTCCGTTGTTTTGTAGGTACAGGCGCAAGGATTCCAGTCCCGGAATTGTAACTCTCCCGCAGGACATCAAAAAACCCCGAAACATTTTGGCGCCGTCTGTGGGGAGAGTACTTTCGAGATGGCATTACAGTCTGTACCGAATCAAAGCGAGAAGCGTCCTATGGACAACCCTCAGGTCTATAGTGACCGGGATACTAACAATGAGGTCGAGGTCGAGACTCACACGGCCCCAGACGGGACCTTAAGAGCTAGACGGACTCGTTCCTCGGAAAGGAAGGAACGACAGGATTGCCTGGATGGATCTAGTAAACCTGTCGGCCAGCCGTTTGATCATCAACAGGCGGCCGAGGGATCTACCCCCATTACTAGAAGTGAACTCATGACTTTCATGAATAATTTCAAAGGGGAGATCCAGGATCTCATCAATAAGAAGATGACTGCTCCATACAAGGAGCAGTCGGCCAGAAGACCCTCCCAGTCTGGGAGGAAGAAGCTTGTAAAAGATCGTGAGGCGACCCCTTACCCAAAGCCTGGGGCAAGGCAGCCGCCAGTGATTGACCTAACGAATTATCACTTTCCCTCACCAGGAAAGAGAAAGCCCATCCGTTATGTTCAACCGGACGGGTCAAAGAGAACATACTCTGATGCTCGAACGTTGTTAGAGCAGAAAAGAAGAGTGACCGACTCTCAAAGTCGGCCTCAATGTCTGATTTTCGAGACAGTTTACACAATACCTCCTTGAGGTATTCAAACTCAAACTATGAGAGCCAGACAAGCGGTACCTCCCACCGGTCCGACTCTCAGAAAAACCAGGCGGCACCGCATGTGCCACCCCAGCCATACGTGCCGCAACCTCAATATTTCATGCAGCCTACTCTGTTTGGAGGACAGGCGGCAAGAAACATCCAACCTTTGGACTGGCAACTTAGGTTGCTTAGACTTGGAGAACTGCCGTCCGCCTTCTCCAAGGAAATAATTGAGGCCGCCCAGCCGGCTAAAGTGAAGAATGTGTTGGTAGGAGCCTATGATGGCACTAAAAACCCAGAAGATCATCTGATGGCGTTCACTAACCTTATGTACCTTCAAGGGTTGGATGATCCCACATGGTGTAAGTGCTTCCCAGCCACATTAAAGGGCATTGCTCAACAATGGTTCGGCAACCTGCCGACTGGTTGCGTAAACAATTTCAAGACCCTGGCCTACCTATTTACCTCCAATTTTGCGATGAACATTCCTGCTAAGAAGACGACCCTTGACTTGCGGACAATACAGCAGGGAGAGAAGGAGGGACTCCGTTCCTACATCAGGCGGTTTAACCTGATGAGAATTCGGATACAAGGACTGCCGGATGAGGTAGCCTATACTGATTTTTTCAGAGGACTTAAGGACGGGTCGACCTTCAAATTTGACCTTGTCAGAAAAAGGGTGACCACCCTCCAAGAGGCCATGATGGAGGCGGATGCCTATATTCAGGAAACTGACTTCTGTAATACTGGGAAGCAGTCGGATAGCAAGAGGCCCGACAAAAGCAGTCGGCAAACAAAGAAGAGAAAAAGAGAAAAGATATCTAGGCGGCCGACTCCTCTGAACAACCGTCCTAGAAAAAGAAGAAAGAATATAAACCATACTCTCCCAAGTATGAGTTCAACAAGGATAGCCACGCTATCCTCAATGAAATCAAGGGCCGGATCTCAATTGAGAAGCCGGCCGCCATGAAAGGTTCGATTAGCAACCGGAACTAAAGCAAATTCTGCCATTTTCATGAAGACATTGGTCATGAAACCAATGAGTGTATAAGCCTAAAGCGCTTTCTGGACTGCCTGGCAGAAAAAGGTGATCTTGACTCCTATGTCAAGAAGTCCAAGGGGAATGCTCCTCCTAAACAGAATCAGGCGGCCAAGAAGAAGCACAGGTCGGCTGACAGTTCTGACACTAACGACGTCGTCTTCTATACTATAGCAGGCGGCTTCGCAGGAGGCAGCCCCACAATCAGGGGCAACAAAGACAACATTAGGCAGTTAGATGTTAATTCCGTCAACCAAGGACGGACCTCCAAGAGTTCATTCCCAGAAATTGTCATCACAAAGGAAGACTTGGGAGGCGTTAGGGGGTCGCATGACGACCCCATTGTTATTGAATATAAAGTGGCCAACCAGAGAGTTGGCCGGATCCTCATAGACACCGGCAGTTCCTCTGATCTAATCAGCAACAAGTGCTTGGCAAAGCTCAAGTACAAACCTGACTGCATACATCCGGTATCTCACCCTTTAGTGGGGTTTAGAGGAAGCGTTGTACACCCAGTGGGACGAGTGGATCTACCCATTCGTCTGGGTGAGAAAGGGGAGGGTCGTCACATGGTGGTCCGGTTCTTAGTTGTTGAAGAGCTCTCGGCCTATAACATGATCTTAGGGCGACCCACCCTGAACAATTCGAAAGTTGTCATCATTTCATCTCTCATGCTGCTCAAGTTTGAGAAGGATGATGGGACAGTCGGCTCCCTAAGGGGAGACCAGAAAATGGAACGAGAGTGTTACCTCTCGGATATTAAACCCACTGTGGCGACTACTGGCCCAAGTGGAGAGAAAACGGACCTTGAGCAAATCAAGGAGGATGCGCCTGCCCAAGCAGCAGGCGGCAAGAAAAGAAAGGCTGCCCAACTGGGGCCGAAAGAAAGGAAAAGCGATAG